TTTGCAAATTATGAGAAAATGGTTGTCTGTAAAAGAATCGAAATTCAGATTTTATTCATTTAAAAAAATTTTCTAATAATAAATATCGTTATAACGACTTATGATAAGCTTACAACAACATTGTAACAATATAATATTTGTTATCACAAAATGTTACTTTGGCTATAGTTTTTACGATGCATCTTCATTTCTCCGATAAACTTGATAATTTCATCGGTGGCAATAATCGCCTTAACAGCTATAGTTCCTTCCTTTTCCTTCTGCTTTTTCAGTTCATTCAACTCGTCGGCAATTGCCATGAATTCCCCATATAAATATTCTATGGATCTTATGCACTCATCACGTATCCCCATTTCGCCTGCTCTTTGTGAATTTTCTTTGCGGGTTTTCATTTGACTGACCGCAAGAGCTGATGCGGACACACGACTGTGTATTGGGGTAAATTCGCTTCCTTCAAGGAGTTCCGCTAATGCTTTGATGTTTATAATAAATGAATCAATATGCATGTAACAAATATCCTGAAACAACCGTATATTTAAGGTTAACCATTATTATTTTGTACTCTTATGAAGAAGATTTATAATTAAAGCTTGAAACTTGTTGAATGGAAATAAGAAGAAATGTATGTTTATATGAATTACATAGATTATGTATAAAGTATTACCGATGGATTCGATTGAACATGAATGATGAATAAGATGCCAGTAACCAACGTTAATGCCGAATACATGTTGGACTATATTATTTATAGTAAGTATTATTGACCACTACTGTAATCATTAAAAATAATTGTTATCAATACTGAACATCTTACAGCTTACAGTATCTTTTTTATCAGACTAATTTATAAAATGAGGAGAATCTAATTTAGTTTGAGTTATTAATAGGATACCTATAACAAGAAAAGTAAAAGAATTAGTACAAGTTAGCTTATATGGGAATTTCTTACTCCCATTCATATATCCCAGTGACTTTTAATTAAGATCAAGGATACCGAGTAAAACGAGTTAAAATCAAAGACATCACACCATATTACATCCATCATACGTTCAAGATTTAAAAGAGTCAAAGATAATGAAACTATGAATCATTTTCAAGCTTCTGAATAATTCTCTCGACCTAATTTTATAGTGTCCATGCAAGAGTAATAGTATCATCAAGCTAGAATAAAGTAATTCGATGGGAGCGTTTCTGGTAGCAGGCCTTATAAAATTGATGCCGAACTGTTGACTAATTTTTTGCTATAATCGGACAGTATTTATAATCAAATATGAAAGCCATTTGTGAGTTACAACAAAGGGGTCATTTGTAAAGAACAAAGTTTAATTTCATTCATGGAAGAATAATTTTTTAAATAACAGTTATCATAGCAAATAATTTATGGTATGTCTGTATCGAAATTCTATTTTTGAATAAAGCTTTATTATAAAACCTCGGGATTTCATATGACAATGTATGACAATACATGATATTGTATGACAATACATAATATTGTATGACAATACATGACAATATATGACAATACGTGACAATGTATGACAATCATTGCATTCTTGCTGTAGAAAAATTCCACGAAATCTGAATATAATTTTTGGTTTTTGAACTCAAATTTTTAAATTGAAACTTTGACTTTCATCAGCAATTATCCATTCGTGAAAAAATTAAATAATAAACGATTCAGCTTTACACTGTTTTATTACATGAAATATCTAAGATAGATCCTGATGAGGTACATGTTCGTGACATCGCGGGAATGAGTTCACTGGAAGCAATGGAATGGGTAACAAGTCAGATGAAAAATAAGCGTTAAAAGGATAGTATTATTGTTAACATTGATCAAACTGATGAAATAAATAAATATTGAAATGTAACAAAATTATTGATAGTAAAATTGGTAATCTCGAGTTTATGGTACCAGAATTGAAATACTAGAATTAATGGATTCGAATAATGGTGCCAAAATCTATTGCACCATTGGTTGACGTTTTAAATCTTGTGAATTGGTTACTACATATATTCATATGATTAGTGCTGTGCTGTTGATTATCAGACGTTGATTAGCTTCATAATGTAATGATTAATTCAGT